AAAGCTGTCTTGTGTTCCCTATAGTCGCCGCCGGGACATGTGTAACGTATGCTCAACCACCAACTGCCCCGAAGTGCGATGTCTTATGATGTAGGAGTAGGTTGGAAGAAAACTAGGAATGGCCATACCAAAACATGACACAAATCCATGAAATCACTGACAAGTGGACTGAGCCATGTTGGTAGGTGTGGACTACCTGGTTGGGATCCGTGAGACGATAGCAACCGATGGTTAGAGACCTTGAATGATACATGGCTCAAAATCGTTTGCAATGACACTGGTGCATCCACTTTTTGTATTCTCCCAAATTCTAATCTTCTGAATTTTTCATTTCCTTTTCTTTTTTTTTTCCTTTCCAAATTTACTTCACTGTATTATACTCCTTGGATTAACAACTTCAAACCCTAATGTTTTTAATTATTGCTTATACTTTTACTATCTCTACCACTATGAGATTTGAATCAGCAATTGTATCTGTGTACTAATGTGGTATGACAAGTTGAACTGATGTACGTACGTACGTAAGTTCGAAGTTTTACGTTGTTGCTGCCTGACTGAAGGCATTACAATGTAGGTGTGTTAGCTTGTCGTTTTACATTGAGTCTGTAGATCAGTTCATATGAGACAATAAAATAAACCACTGACTGTTGACTATTACACACAAACTATGATTCATAAATATAGTAAAAATCAGTGTTTTTATATCATACAAATTACCCCTTCTATATCATAAGTTTAAATGTTGACTTTATGTACATTGAGTTAGCACTATTTATACAATAAAGTTTGGCAACACGGATTATATCTGTCTACTCGACTCATTCCATTAATCAGTTATTCCTTAATTATTCAGATTACGAACCAACTTAAGCTAGAGTATCATTGAAAACCAGGGATACTGGAGAGCTGTTTTGTTTTATTATGAAGCTCATCAACAGTGTATATCTATGATCGCACTAGGTACTGAATTTTTCAACATTCAGATCTTTCAGTAAGCACTTAAATTCCCGACATTTGAGTCAGCATCGAATGGATTTGATCTCCAAATACAATTATTTTGTGATATTTTACAACTAACTCCCATTGTTTTTAGCGATCTATCTCTTCATAGTCGACAAGAATGAACTGTACAGGTCACGACATCTCACTAAAACTCGAGAAATCACCTATTGACATTAGTCACTAATGAGTAAATGATAATCACTACTAGGATGGTGGACAGAACACCTGTACAGTGCTCCTAGGTTTTCATTGATTGCCTAACTTAGGTTGGTTCATGATGTCAATAATTCTCAACAATCTTTGTGAATCCCTATCTTGATTTCACAAATATTTTTCGTCACTTATCCTTTTGACCACGATCGTCTTTTTTTTTAAAAAGACTTTAAATCCGTATTACACAATATTCGCAGACTGATATACATTGGTGATTAATCATGCCGGATACTTTCCATATTCTAATCACATTCCTTCCTCAGAGAACAAGATCATTTTTCTTCTGTTTTTTTCATGTCTCCTTAAATACAAAAGACTAACAATCATGAAGAAGACAGTGTTTTGTTGTTGTTGTTCATGATCATTTATTCTACTATTGTGTATAAAATAAATTATTATCATTGTCTTTTATGTACGAGACAATCTCTATACTAAATGATTGATTACTATGTAACCATAACTCTTTCTAAACTAAGCATATGAATAAATTCACTTGGTATTGTTTGCTTATATCTTCCCATTGTTGTTTAGAACTGCAGTTGATCAATCTCTTGTTAACATATTTGCATCTCGTGCGGATTGCTTCGATATTATCTTAAATCACAAGCTATATAAGTAAAGATGGATAGTGGACTCGTCAGCTGGATGTACCTGCATCTCAGTGTTGATGTTCACTCTGGAACTCGAACCCAGTATCGTTTGCTTCAGACGTCATCGTGTTATCTATTTCGAGTCCCAAAGTGACACATTTACTTTAGGATGCAGGTATATACAACTAATGAGTCCCAAATAGGACGAAACACGCTTTGTCCTGAACTCCACTGCTAACCACCACTCATCTTTGCTTAGAAAGCATATGAATTCTCAATTAGATACTACATGTTTTCATATTAGTTTTTGTCGAATCAAATTAGCTATATTTACTGTTGTTTATATTTTTAAGAACTGTCAACCGATCTATCAGTCTACTGTATTAAAATATTCATTTTTGTAGTTAGTTATCAATCAGTTATGATGTTTGATCTAACATTATTAATATTAGAAACTATTAATTTGATATTGGCACCTATTTATTCAATTAATTATGAGTTTATGATATTTATGTTTAGTCTAGCTATGTAAGTTTTACATATATATTTAGGGATACTACCCCTAACTCAGGGTCTGAAAAGTCGGAAAAATGAAAATTTCACAAATGCGATAAAAATGATCTTGGTGGTCTAGTTATAGTATTCTGACAACAGACAGTGAGTTGTAAGCGTTATTTAAGCCCTAACGCTTCAGGCTGGGCTATTTCGCTTACTACCCTACATATGTGTTGTATGCAGTATAAGCTATATGGCAATGTAGGACTAAAGGTCTCATATGAGACTGGAGGTTCGGCATTGCTTTGGCAACTTTTGCTGACTGTTCATGCACAAAATTGATTTGCTGGTTAACCAATCCCATTCATACTGGTAGTTGCTTTTCAGTGTTCTCAAGAATCATTGTCATTGGGACATTGTAAGGCATGTCGTCATTGCTAACATTAATGAGTTTGACTGTCGTGTTAGCAGAATAGGTCAACTTTGGCCTGTTCGTGTTGTGCATAATTGATTCACGCGATTATTAATCTGAATAATTATTATACATGTGAAGTGAATGTGTATATGAATGGTGCGAACGGTTCACCAGGGTGCTTGGCACCTGTGTGGTTGCGCCACAGGATTGAGCTGTACTATTCACACAGTAGCGTTAAAGCCTATACGGTGTCTGGTTCTCCTGTTAAACGGGATTGAGCAGTATTGTTTGGGTTGTCACATAAGAGTCTGGTTCTCCTGAAAACCAATGTAAAATTACCCTGGTCCACAAGGGTATATTATATAACTGTGAACAAACTGTGTGAAACCTATATTACTAAAATTCGTGATCTAGGGGAAGCTAAAGAGTAGATTAATCTGCCTAATTCTATGCCATATCATTCAAAGTCTTTAATCATGGTTATTTGCTGCTCGCCTATGTCTTCTAATTTTATATATTGTAGTTTCAAGTTGTATCGTTTTTTTTCCTTTGCTTTTGTTGCTTACTTATATTTCAATCACTGTAACATCCAACAGAATATATTATACTGTTATGTTGCTAAATCTAATGATTACGTTGTAAGTTGATCGATAGGATTTGATTATCACTATAGATATTGGCTTATATCACAATACATATTACTCAATAATTGATTAATATTGAAGGTCTAATATGACACAAAGATGTTAGTAACAAATTTAATTATAATATTATACTGTATCATGCAAGTTCACATTCCATGGAGATACTTTGATTCTTTTTATCCCATTTTGAAGATATTTATTACTGAACATTAATATCTATCAACAAACTTTAGTTCACGGTTTTTCAAAACACATTGCATCAAACTTATTTTACTTACGACTGTTACTCCCAATGGAGCATAGGCAAATTACCAGCATTCTTTAACCCACTCTGTCCTGGGCCTTTCTTCTACGTTCTATCTAATTGTTGTTCATTCGTCTCATGTCTGTATCCGTTTCTCGGCGTAATGTGTGGTTTGGTCTTCTTCTTTTCCTTTGGCCTTCAGGATTCCATGTGAGGGCTTGTCTTGTGACGCAGTTGGGTGCTTTCCTCAATGTGTGTCCTATCCACTTCCAGCGCTTCTTCTTGATTTCTTCTTCTATTGGGATCTGATTAGTTCTCTCCCACAGTAGGTTGTTACTGATAGTGTCTGACCAACGGATTCGAAGAATTTTGCATAGACAATTGTTAATAAACACTTATATATATTTTGCGTAGGCAGCTGTTAATAAACACCTGTATTTCCTGGATGATAGCTTTCGTAGTTCTCCAAGTTTCCACCTCATACAATAGAGCTGTCTTGACGTTTGTATTGACAATTCTGACCTTGGTGTTGGTTGACAGTTGTTTTGAGTTCCAAATGTTCTTCAGTTGTAGATATGCTGCTCTTGTTTTGCTGATCCGCTCCTACACATCTGTATCAGATCCACCGTGTTCATCACTGATGCTTCCCAGTTATGTAAAGGTTTTTACATCCTTCAAAGTTTCTCCATCAAATGTGATTTGATTGGTGCGTGTTGTGTTGTATCAGAGAATCTTGCATTTCCCTTTGTGTATCTTGAGACCTAACATTGCATCAAACATTTAAATTTAAAATATAGATAATATTTCTATCAGTCGTGTTAACGATTAGTGTCTGTAGGTGGTATCATTATGAAGTTGGGATTTCAAAAGTCTACTCCTACGACCTATACAAGGATTAGATTTTATATCAGAGTCTTGTGATGAGCACTTAAACCGTTAGTACTCCTGACGGTCTTGGTAGACCCTTTATAAGACTAAATTGCTTTCCATTGGACCTCATTTTTCAATGACGCGCCAGCAAATAGATTTTTATCGAAATCTGAAAATTAAATGTGATCTAAATATTTTAATTTTCTTACTTTCTATCTAAACTCAGTTCCAAAACTAATTTTTTAAATAGCGCTCGACAAGACATTTTCGAAGTTAAATTTTTTGCTCACCGGTTCTCATTAGTAAAAGATCCTTATGTAGTTTTTACGAAACGCATTTCGAATTTCGGTATACATTCATCTTCTCTTCGATTGTATTCGAACATTTCATAGTCTAAAGCCTTCGATTTAATCAGTTACACTAGTATTGGGTTGTATATATCCAATAGTGAATTATTTGTTTTCAGTAATGCTAAGCAAGTAGAATGTATTAATTACTGTTTTGTCTGTATCGCTTCTCTTTTTTAGCCCCATGTTGTAGAAGCACATTCAGTTCATGTGGCACATCATAATGTAAGTCCTGAGAATGGTGATCAACTTTGTCGGATGACTGGTACTGTGACTCAAAGTGTTGCCGTCAGTAAAACAATAACAACAATAGCTGCTACTACTACTAAAGTCAATGGTACAAATGCTCAGTCTAACGATTCATCTGTTGTCGAATTTAATAAATCTGTCAATTTAACAAATGCATCAAATCATGATAACATTCCTAAATCAATTAGTATTGATGATTACACGAAAGCAGAGAAACATCGAAGTGATCAACAATATAATCGTCAACATTTATCAATAAGTGATCATATAAATTATGATAATAATGGAGAAGAGGATGATTTAAATGATATTGTACATTATACGCCAGAACGTATATCACCAATGTCATTTGATCGTGGTACAGTGACTACAATTGAATCACATTTATCTAGTATAATGGCTCAAGATGAAATTGATGATTGTCGAGATAATACCAATCTTAACAAAGAACTTGACTATTCTACATCGAAAAAGATTATTGCTGATTCAGAAAAAATTTCCGAATCTCCACCATATGCTTGTCTCGATGTGCATAATGATAATCCAGATGAATGGGATTTAGGTGTGGCTGATCGTGATTTATTAGCCGCTGATGGTTTACTCTATTTAGATCGTAGTCATCCGGTAAGATTAATTCTAATTATATTTGAATATATATTCTCAAATAAAAAGACCCATCTATTGTTAATTTCTGTAGTACGAAAGGTATGTATATGACTGTCTTTCTAACCCATACAAGGATATGTTGAACTTAATCTTGATTAGCTTCTTGACTGACTTCTTCCGACAACGTATCCCTTTCATAATTTCTCACCAACTGTTCGAACTTAAAGTGGCTATGAAAATAGACACATGATACATGTTTATACTTGTCCATTCATTTTATCGATCATTGAATTCATTTAGAATTCAGGTAGAAAATCCAACAGCAATATTCTTGAATGTATCTTGTATTATGCCATCTATTGTTAATATTTTCATTATCAAAGTAATACACAGCAACTATAATGATCTGTAAATATGATATCGACTAATATGCTTCACTTTATCGATCTTTTTTTTTTACTTCTTAAAAGTTATTTTGCAAAGTTTATCTTTTTGTTTTTCATGATGATAGCAATTTTGTCATAAGTAGATGTGCTACTATTCTTTAGTTTTATTCTATTTGGAAACATCATGACAACTTTATGGATTTCAAATATCTGTAAAAGTGTGAAGTTATGATTTCTTAATCTGTGTACACTCATCTGCTGGGTTCACCGCGTAAGTAATCGTGAGGTTAGACGTAGGGTATTAGGGAATGATGGTGAATCAGTTGATGAGGTTGTGAGCCTTCATCGCATGAGATGGTTGGGCCACGTGTTACGTATGCTTGAACAGCGATTACCACAATACTTCATGCTGTCTAGTGTTGGGGATAGTTGGACGAAAGCTAGTGGCGGCCAAACCAAAACGTATCATCAGTATTTGAGGTCATTAACTTGTGGAGTGAAGTCATGTTGGTAGATGCAGACTACTTGGTTGGGGTCCGTACAGGATGAGTTGGAAAACCTTCATTGCAAACCATTGGTATACATGAGCTCCAACATCCTAAGGAAACAAATGACATAGTAACTTATTGTTTGTCACCGGCTTCCATTGTGGTGTGTGCTACTTATATTGACATAAGTAATATATGACGTTAGTCGTGAACAGAATGTCTGTCAGTAGAGATACAAGAGGATCCAACAGTAAAGAACGAAAACAGAATGCGATTTGTATGAATCTGTAAGAACAACGTAGTCTGAGTCATTTTGTGACAATTCATGGACATTTTTCAAATTAAAGATTTACTATATGATTGTTAGATTTTATTAACAAGTCCTGTAATTTTGTGTCACCATGAGACGACATCTCCTTACGTTGCTCTACTGTCTCGTGGATCAGACCTTCAGGTTGAAGGCTCCGGATGTGGCCATTAGGAGAGTATCCCAACCCTCACATAAATCGAATGGTTTATGTGGCGCATAACTATTTATGGCCTTCTCGTATCAATGTTTATGTGTTTAAATAAATAAATATCTAAGTTGTAAAATCTTTTTGTTTAAGCCTGGATTAGTAGATTCTCATAATATACAATGACTTATGAATTTAATCAAATTTGTAGTAAGGATAAATGTTCCCTTTTGACTTTGGATCTTGGTTACTTGTTATCTGAAGTAAACTATGGATAACTTTTAACCGAATTCTTTCACGCTTCAGTTGTGTAACTTTGAATGTGTTTCAATTTAACCTTCTCATGCAATCGACTTTATATATTTATTTCATCTACAAATCCATAATTGCTTCTTGAATTATTTCTTCTTTGACTAATCTTCTAAACTGTCATCAATACAGATACGAAATCGAAAGGACGAAAAGCGAATGTCCGGAGCTTTAACCGGGTTGGTGGACATAGAGAGTCCACCTAGGGGAGTTGGAGAACCCTCATTCCAGACCAATGGTGCACATGGACTAGCTCCAGTATCCTGAAGGAACAAATGGTGTGTGAACCAATCGTTGGTCACCGGTTACCATGTGACTGCATCTCCTTACGATGCTCCACTGCCTTAGGGATCAGACCTTTAGGTCGAAGGCTCCGTGTGTGGCCCTCTAAGAAAACCACCTGCTTCGGTTTGGGCACCCGAGCAGTATCACAGCCCTCACATATATCGAATGAGATGTGCGTGGTGCATATGTATTCTGTGCCTCCTTGCATCAATATCTATGTGTTAAAATAAAATTATATATATATATATATATATATATATATATATATATCTGTAGTATCTTTTCGTGTCGGTATGATGTTGTGATCTCAACCGATGTACTTATATTCTAGTTTCGATCATGTGTATGACTGACTGTATTTTCTACTAAGGAGTTTCTTGTTAAAACTAAACATTTTTATAAAGGAAAGGTTGATATTTTTATTACTTATTTCTTTAATCTATTATCATTGTTGTTAATTTTTGTCGTCAGGAATCACTTAGCGATCGAATTAGTGAATTTGGATTTCGAATTCATGGTTCATCTGAAGGTGAAGAAGATTTAGAAGATGAGGATGATGATCCAGACGATAGTGGAATTCGAGATGAGTAAGTTTTGTTTAAATTTTTCATTTATTATTATTATTTGTGTGTGTATCTGTTTACCTTCTGTGTGGTTGATAATCATCATTAAAGTTGATGCTGGGCTGGGATACTGCCCGGGTGCTCAAATCGAAGGAGGTGGTTTCCTTAGGGGACAACACCCCAAACTTTTAACCTAGAAGTCTAATTCACAAGACAATGGAGCAACGTTAGGATATGCAATCCCATGGTAGCCGATGACCAACAGTTGGTTCATACGCCATTTATTCTTTCAGGATCCCAAAGCCTATGTGCACGATTGGTTTAGAATGATGGATTCTCTGTTTCCACCAAACCGGTTAAAGAGTTGGACATTCACTTTTCTTCCTCTCAATTCCGTAAACAACAATAATGCTGTGAGAAGGCAGTGAGTAAGATTTTCCTGTTAGTGATTGTATGCACGTGACTACTTGAGAGTATTTTGAGAGGGAAAGCTGATTCTCACCACTCTCGGCCGTACTATTTGGGCGCATTATTGAAATAAAGTGTTCTACGTAATATTGATTTGCAGTATTTTCTGAATCATTTATGTTATATGTTCTACAATTGAAGGGAAGTTCCATACATCTGTAAAGTCATTGTTAATTTGTAAACTATATCAAAATATTGAACAAATTACTATACTTGGTTATATAACAATATTGGAAATTTCTAAGTCTATAATTTCTTTTCGAATACCATTTATGAAATCCAGTGTACTTTGAATGTTCGGTTATTTGTTATGACTGTTAACCATGCATATGACATCAAAGGAAGTATATCATATGTAAATCATTCATTGTATGTATTCGTAATGATTATGAAAGGTTGGAGTCTACATGATGAACGCGTTTATTACTTAGAAACATCTAATGGCATAGTTTAGAATTATTTGTACTACTTTCTTTATCTTCATTTCTATCTGAAATTATATTATTTCTTCGTACATTTCTTCAGATCACTACATCTTTTCCAATTATATATTTCTAATATTCTTCCTTCTTCATTATCACTGTTAATGTTTTGCTTTGATCACTTTTGCAATTCATCTTTCTAATTTTATCTCACCATGTGTATGTGGTATGGTGACTTGAGTCAACGATCATCTATGTACCTTGGTAGTGATGACTAACTGCTGGGACCACCGGGTAAGTAATCGTGAGGTTAGACGTAAGATATTAATGAATAGTGGTAAATCAGTGGATGAGGTTGTAAATCTTCATTGACTGAGATGGTTGGACCACGTGTTATGTATGCCTGAACACCGATTACCACGACGCGCAATGTTGACTAGTGTTGGGGATAGTTAGACGAAAGTTAGTGGCGGCCAAACCAAAGTGTGGCATCAGTTGTTGAAGTCATTAAGTTCTGTTGTGAGCCATGTTATTAGATGCACACTACTTTATTGGGGTTCCAGGTGACTATCGTCACCAATGGTTGGAGACTGTGTATGACATGTTTCAGAATCGATCAGAATGGTGTAGGTGTATACACTCTTTATCTTCCCTTAAACTATGAGATTAAAATTACTTCATATCTTTCTTTCTTTCTGTACTATATCCTTACATAATGTCTTTCCTTTATATATTACACCATTGAATTAACTGCTTCTATGAATCCGGTGTTCATTTTGTCGTGCTAATGAGTGAGGTATGGCAACTTGTACCGATGCATGTATGTGCCTGGTCCTACGTTGTAACTGACTGACTGAGGAGTTTTAGGATTTTTTTTCTTCGTTAAAGACAAAACATCAGTTTAATTATTTGTCCATTCTATTTTTATTCATTTTAGAATAATTATACCAAATGATTTATCTAACATAAATATGATGAATTTATGTCAATTATCATCGAATACAAGTAATATTGAAGGTATTTCACCAACATTAAGTCGTATGAATACAAATGATAATTCTATGGATACTGTGTCTACAAAAAAATTATCATTATCAACAATTGATGGAACTAACTTAAATAGTCAAATAACAAATGGTGATCTAAATCTTAATCATATGGATGTATTAAATAAGAATACAAAAATTAATTCTACTATGACAAATACTACTACTAGTACTACTACTAATAATAATCATAATAACAGATTAGTCAGTCAAAAAGAATTGGATTTAAATGATATTGTTAATTCCACTGGTCATGAGTTTTATCCAGAGAAATCCGGAGAGTAAGTGTTTACTTCTTTTATTTTCAACCATAATGTTAATCATACATCTTTATTTATTAGCTTAAATGTATAGTTCGGAAGGGTGGTTACTGATTACTGAATACTTAAGCCTGTTACTTCTCGTGAAGGAGCATAGGCGGCTCACCAGCATTCTCCATCCAACCCTGTCCTGGGCAATCTTTTCCAGCTCCTTCCATTTCCTATTGATCCTTTTCATATCTGCCTCTATTTACCGACGTACTGTGTTCTTTGACCTTCCTCTTTTACACTTCCCTTCAGGATTCCAAGTTAGGGCTTGCCTCGTGATGCAGTTTGATGATTTGCGTAATGTGTGTCCTATCCATTTCCATCGTCTTTTCGTAATTTCTTCAGCTGGAAGCTAGTTTGTTCTCTCCCACAAAAGGCTGTTGCTGATGGTATCAGGCCAATGGATGTTGAGTATCTTGAGTTTTTTCGTCATGCTATTATTTCCTACTTCTTTCAATGATTTTTATTAATCTCTTTAAACAATATATTTTTATCTGTTTGATAGGAACATAGGCGGGGGGGGGTATAACTAAATGTATTTGAACATAAAAGTACATTGTCTCAGAACCATACAATATATACTTCATTTTCAAAATATCCATCAATTGTCTCATACTTTGTTTTTCTTTCATTTCCATACCAATCACTCTCTGTTCTCGTTCTCTTCTCTCTGATCTTCTTAACCTTCTATCTTCAGGCGTTCCACTTTCGATGGATAATACGTATTATTTATATCTATTGACCTCAGTAGCACACAACATAATAACAGTAAAAATTTCAGCGAGACTAATTTATGGACGACTTTTGAACGAATCCCAAGTGATCTTGAGAAATTTGAGCCAATCAGAAAACAGTCGGTATAAAGTAAACATATATTAAAGAAAATAAAAAAAAATTAGAATGGACATACTTCTGAAATTATAAGGCATACGATACATGACATCATCCATGTGGCTCCATAATAGTCGACCTCTGGAACCATAATTAGGTCTCAAAAATTCTTTTAGTTTCGATTATATTGCTTCAATATTATTTGTATGCACTTGGGTGGTTGGGTGCACAAAACACCGCTTATGGACGAAGACAAGATGCGTATGACTAAATCTATGTAGGCATCCGTACGCTCTCCATCCATCCATATATATTGTAGTACCCGGCAGCTCATATTTTCGTACAAATGGTATTTTAGTTGTAACCCATTGAACATGTCCTTTTTGAGATAACCCATCATGTGTTTGAATTTTCGTTCTCAAACAACTATTTCGTCTATTTCAACGATTCTCACGGCTCCCCCAAGTGAGTCGTACAAGTTTGTCATTTTTATTACACATATATGTGTTCAATATTCATACGCTTGAACTGCCAAAGCTTCAGTAATATCTGCAAAGGTCGCAGCTAGTGTTAATGGTGCTTTTATTATCCAGGTTACATTAATTATTATAGTTTGTCTTAGTCTCAATCGGAATCGGGGGGAAAATGTTCCCTTTCCTCCAAAATATATTACATCGAAATACATCATCACGGTAGTCTGCAGAAGGTCCAGTAGTCACTTGATTACCTCAATCACAAATAAAGGAAATTCTGAGTAATCCTATTTTCAGTAGCTGCTCTACTATAACTTCTCTAAAATCAGCTGTAAACCGAACGTACGTGAGCATTGGATACTGAAATAGGCGCTGTTACCTTTAAATCTCAAACGCTTCTGATTGGCTCGTTCATACATTATAGTCTCACCCAGTTCACTTTGTTTATTGTAAACTTGCGAAAAGAATCATTTTCTAATGTGGTTCACGGAATCGTAAGGGAGTTGATAAGACAGGAATTTATGATTTCTTGATATCGATATAGATCTATAATGACCTTTATATGAATTTAACTATAAATCTCCAACGAACTTTTAAATAAAGATTTTACATATGATGATGACATCTCAACAACAACAACAACAACAACAACAACAACAAAATATTAATAACTACGAGAAGGATTCAGAAAACAATCTTTAGCTCAATTTATATTTGGAGTTAGATAAATAAGATTATATAACGATATTTCGAAGGCGAAATAGATGGAAAAGGCTGCGAGCTTTTCGGACTAATAAAAGAAACTGGAATTAACAAGTCAAGTGTAAGCGAAACGATCTCAGAAAAAAACGATTCTCTTATCTGCTCTCAGCCCAGACGTTTGGAACGATGGGTGGAACACTTTAAAGAGCAGTTCAACTGGCCTTCAGCTAGTCTGCAACTACCCACCATTCCCAACCAGTCTGAATGGAACATTGAATTAGGTTCCCCAATTCTAGTTGGACTTCGAAAAGCTATACCTAATCTGAAACGAAGAAAAGCAGCTGGTTCAGATGGATTAACTCCAGAGGTCTTTAAGTATGATGGTCCAGTTTTTGCGATTTGATTGACTAATTTTTTTAAGCTAAAATCTGGGAGTTGAACGTAATCCCATCTGACTGGTCTCAATAACTGATTATCACAATATATAAAAAGGGGTCAAAATCATCCTGTGATAACCATAGAGGGATTAATTTGACTAACATAGCATCTAAAATACTAGCCTCAATAATTATCGGACGTCTGCCTAACGAAGACTCGTGAACTGCAAACACGAGGAAATAAGGCTGGCTTCAGACCTGGTCATTGCTGTATTGACCACATATTCACCATTCGTCAGGTTCTTCAACACAGACATGTTCATCAGCGTCCGACAATGGTGGTCTTTCTTGACTTGAAAGAAGCGTTTGACTCTGTGCACCGTGAGGTTCTGTGGCATTGTCTGTAGTTGGAAAGTATACCTCAGAAGTACATAAACCTTGTGAAGGCTCTTTACTCGAACACTACTAGTCGAGTCAGCTTATGGCGAACTGTCATCTGCTTTTGCAACCTCAAGTGGTGTCCGTCAAGGCTGTCCACTTTCTTCATTTCTGTTTAACTTCATCATAGATCTACTGATGGAAATAACTTTCTCGTCGACGGAGTTCTCGGGTATTGATCTCCATCCAGCAGGTCCACTTATTAACTTAGAATACGCAGATGACATAGTCTTGTTTGGCGAAGACGCTGATAAAATGCAGAGTCTTTTGGTAGCACTGAGCAACAATGCCAGAATGTTTGGAATGCGCTTCTCTCCCTCTAAATGCAAGTTGTTGCTTCAGGACTGGCCTGCGTCAACACCTGAACTAAGGATATGGAGTGAAGTAGTCGAACGCGTCAACAACTTCACTTATCTTGGAAGTATGATCAGCCCTAATGGGTTGGTATCGGACGAAATCTCAGCACGGATTCGAAAACCTCGCTTGGCTTTTGCCAAATTACGTGACCTATGGCGAAGGCGAGATATCCGTGTATTAATTAGGGAGTGGGTATACTTCACAGCAGTTCGTTCTGTTTTACTTTATGGTTGAGAAATGTGCCCATTAAGAGTAGAAGATACTCGTAGGCTACTAGTATTTGACCATAAATGCCTTATAAATATTGCCAGCATCTACTGGGATCACCGGGCAAGTAATAGTGAGGTTAGACGTAGGATGTTAATGAATAATGGTAAATCAGTTGATGAGGTTGTGAATATTCATCGACTGAGATGGTTGGGCCACGTGTTATGTATGCCTGAACACCGATTACCACGACGCGCAATGTTGACCAATATTGGGTATGGTTGGAAGAATGTTAGTAGTGGCCAAATTAAAATGTGGCATCAGTTCTTGAAGTCACTAACTTGTGTTGTGAGCCATGTTATTAAATGCCGACTACTTTGTTGGAGTCCATGTGACTATCATAACCAACGATTGGAGACTGTATGTGACACGGTTCAGAATCGATCACAATGCTGTCGGTGTATACACTCCTTGTCTTCTCTTAATCCTGAGATTATAATTGGTTTATGCCTTGTTATTTATTATTATTTATTTGAACTCATAAATATTGGTACAAGAGGGCACCAAATATAAATGAGCCTCCTTGTATATCCTTATACACAATCTTTTTTTTAATATATTACTACTATTGAAGTGACTAGTTCTATGAATTTGTAGTTCATCTTGTTGTGTTATTGAGGTATGGCAACTTGTACGGAAGCATATATGTGCATGGTCCTACATTGTAGCTGACTAACTAATTGATAACGATATTTCTTCAATATTAAGATCGAATAAGTGATAATAAACTTCTTCACTACATTCTATTGTGTAATATATTTGATCTATTGAATGCTTAGTTAGTTACAACCAATGTACCGGTTGTTGAATAAAATTTATTTTTCTCCTTTATTTTTTTCTACACTGACTCCTCTTTGTTGTTACTTTGTTTTGTTTATAAAAAAGTCCATTTGATGTTACATAAATTGTGCATAGAGATAGTTCACTTTTGATCAATATATTTTCATATACTGTTTTTTGTTGTTGTTGTATATATCTGTTTTATTATTGTATTTATTAGATTTTGGTCTTGGAATTATTTAACTAAAGATAGTTAATTGATTTAACTGTATCCTTTTTATATGTATGAATGTATTTACATTCATTTTGACTGACTGATGGCCATAAAGAGTAGAAGACACTCGTAAGCTACTAGTATTTGACCACAGATGCCTTAGAAATATTGTTGGCGTCTGCTGGGATCACCGGGTAAATAATAGTGACGTTAGACGCTGGGTATTATTAAATGATGGTAAACCAGTTGATGAGGTTGTGAATCTTCATCGACTGAGATGGTTGGGCCACGTGTTACTTATGCCTGAACACCGATTACCACGACGCGCAATGCTGAATAGTGTTGGGGATGGTTGGAAGAAAGTTAGGTGCGGCCAAACCAAAGCGTGGCATCAGTGCTTGAAGTCACTGACTTGGGGTGTGAGCCATCTTGGTAGATGCAGACTACTTTGTTGGGGTCTGTGTGACTATGGTAACCAATTGTTGGAGACTGTATGTGACATGGTTCAGAATCGATCGGAATTGCGTAGGTGTA